TATGTGACCCCCTCCTGGCACCAAAGCTGGATCCGCCCTTGCCCATACAAGGGTGAGACAGACACTATACTATTCAAATTAGACTTTGATCCTTAGCCTTAAGGTGGGTGGCAGGGTTGGCGTTTCAATGTCTGGCTGCGGTAATCATTGACGACCAGTCCAGTCGTGTTTTGTCTTCCCATACAGTATATGTATAGAATAAGAAATTGTAAGCTGCTATACCCGCTATGCTACCATCACCGCTGTCACAAAGCCTCGGCGCGTTTGTTCTGTATTCAATGTAAAACATTTCATTCACGGTCAATACGTATCGATCNCAGATGTACCACGAACACAGAAATAACAAAAGGAAACAAAACAAATAAAAACTTCCAGGAAGAGCACTTAGTCGGCAGATGTACCACGAACACAGGCCGCGCGAACAATGGCCGGGCTAACAAAAGCCGGGCGAACAAAGGCCGGGCGATCGAGTGGTCGATGAGCACGTCCGCGCGTGACGGGTGCCTCTATCGGAATCAGGGTGGTGGTACCTACCCGCGCGGACTCACAAGAGGTCCTACCACCAGTAAGGCGTGTTACCCAGTAAGTATTTGGGTAGCTTACTCGAGGTATATGTGTATAGCCGCCTCTATTCTTTGCGGCTCTGTGTTGATCGCGAACTATTGAACTCCGAGACTCCTATCCAAGAAATGATCGAAATTCCAAGAAGCCCGCGTGTTTCAATTGAAATCGGACGACGTTCTGATGTACCAGATTGTGGTCGGACCGTTAACTGTGTTCAATGCCTTGATGTTAATTAATTAGTATCTTGCAATGGTTTTGATTGAATTCTAACCTTGAATATTTCTTATTGCATGTTTGAAACAAGAATGCGTGCACTCGTGATGTTAGTTAGGTTAATACGCGATCCAAAATAAACTTGTAATATTGTTTAGTGGTGTTTTTTTTATACGATTGTACTCGTAGGCAGAGTTGCATTATTTAATAAAACGATCAAACAAACATCTCTCTCATGTCTTTGATGACTACGACATATCACACATTAGACGCCTTCAGCTCTAACACTAGGAGCAGGCTTAGGGACCCGGTAACCGTACTCGTCGAACTCGACAAAGAGGTCGACGTGCAACCTAACCCATGCATCAGCTCGCTGAGTTTCTCGCCGGATCTTGTCAGTGGGTCGCGATTCCGATCCGGTAGTAGATTCATTCGCGAAGCAATTGCTCTTGAGTTGTTAGTTCTCCTTCGGAGGTGCTCGGGCAGTTGTTAGCAAATCCCACACCTCCTGCCTGAGGATTTGCTCGCCAACTTGTCTTGGTGAAACTAGAAAGGCCTTCGGGCCAATCATAAAAAAAAAACAATCACGCATACGGTACGATGACGTGACTTATGCAAATTATATAATTTTTCAGGAGAAACGTTGGAAAATTCATCTTATTAAATAATTATTATATAGTTCTGCTAGGCAATTAAATGATAATATTTAAACTACAACTTTAAACTTCATCAGTAAAAATAAACATCTCTCTCGTCTCACTAATCTATACATATAAATAAAATGGGATTGTCTGTTTGTATATTGAAATAGCCTCTTTTTACTACATGTATACGAATATATATATACGGTACATACACCAAAATAACATTTTTGAAGTTATACTTTTTTAGGCGCGTCGTGAAAAATTGATGAGAGTGAAATTTTACGATGCGCGCGCACCGTGACACAAAATTAACAGAATGAAATTGCCCACTAAATCGCTCATTACAATACGACCGACGTAACTTGGCGAGTCTGAATATAGCCGCAGGCGAACTTTCCGAACCGTACCGAGAAATACCGAATTTATACGATGTCAAGAAAAGGGATGTCCAATATGCGTGTTTGAGGATGTTGTTTAACCGATTTTTTTTCAAATTGATTAAAATTTAAATAATAAAAAAAGAAACAAATTTAATAAAAATAAAGTATAACTTCTTACGCGCGTACATAAAAGTACACGCACCCTTTATTTTACAATTTTTGTCTGTCTATTTGTTCCGGCTAATCTCTGGAACGGCTGGAACGATTTTGACGGGACTTTCACTGATAGGTAGCTGATGATATAAGGAGTAACTTAGGATACTTTTTTTAGACTAGCTTCGCCCCGTAGCTTCACCCGCGGTACGACAATAACCGCGGGTAACATCGCAGGACTCAGCTACCAATAATAAAATTTAATGTTTCCGAAGCGAAGCGAGGGCGGGTCGCTAATAACATATAAAAAAATGTATTTTCTCATACTAAGTTCAGTGTTAACAAAAATTTACTTAAGTAACTTTATAGCAACGTATGTACGATATATATTTAGAGAGATATTTATTTGTGGTGTTCCGGTCACCGTCCTCGTCGAACCCGTCGCTTGCGACGAAGGGCTCGCCGAGCGAACTAACCCACAGACACAGCCCACTGAGTTTCTCGCCGGATCTTCTCAGTGGGTCGCGTTTCCGATCCGGTGGTAGATTCTGCAAAGCACTGCTCTTGCTAGGGTCAGTGTTAGCAACTCTCCGGTTGAGCCCCGTGAGCTCACCTACACACGTTAGGGTGAAGCTGAAATAGCCTCAAGGCTATCAGCATAGCTAGGAAAAAAATATATATTTGTGGTGCCGCTAAATAATAATCGTCGTAACATATTCATTATCCCATTTAGTACCAGTTAAAAGGAAGTAAAAAATTCCAAGAATTTGTTCTCGATTTGGTCATTCCTATAAACGAATCCAAGGTTGAATTCTATTAGTTAAAAACATGCTTAAATGAATGTAATTAACGGTGTTACATTCGTGTGTGTGTGAAGGACATTGGGTACACTGTTGTAGTCGTCGTGGCCTAAAGGATAAGACGTCCGGTACATGCGTATCTAGCGATGCACAAGTGTTCGAATCCCACAGGCGGGTACCAATTTTTTTAATGAAATACGTATTTAACAAATGTTCACGATTGACTTCCACGGTGAAGGAATAACATCGTGTAATAAAAATCAAACCGGCAAAATTATAATTTGCGTAATTACTGTTGTTAGGACGTCTTGTGAATCCGCACGGGTAGATACCAACCTGCCTATTTCTGCCGAGAATCAGTAATGCGTTTCGGTTTGAAGGGTGGGAGAGCCGTTGTACTATAAAAACTGAGACTAGAATTCATATCTCAAAGTAGGTGGTGGCATTTACGTTATAGATGTCTATAAGCTCCGGTAACCACTTAACAACAGGTGGACCGTGAGCTCGTCTACCCATTTAAGCAATAAAAAAAACTGTGGCCACTCGCCACATCTCAAAGACGCTGCCTCTACGACTGCTATTTACCAATCTTATATCTATTAGGAATCTTATAAAAAAATGTTTGTAAAGAAATACACTTAAGAATATCACAACCTCAACACTTTTTACGGCTTAATACAGTTTCCATTGATAGTTAGTTCTGCGCAGATGGTTCAAACTGGTACTGAATGGCTGTGTAGTTCTCGTAAACATTTTTGGAACTTGCGCCCACCATGCTTAATGAACACGCTTAACACCAGGTGGGTCGTGAGCTCGCTTATCTTCCTAATATATATAAATTACGTGTCACGTTGTTTGTCCGCGATGGACACCTAAACTACCGAACCGATTTTTCCTTTTTTTTATTTTAATTATGTGTTTTGTTCCAACTTAGGCCATAGGATGGTTTTTATTTCGATCAATGGTCGCAATATTTATTAATTAACAATAAAATGATTTCTTATGTTGATTATTGTTATTAATTGTAAGTTTCGTAAGTCTAAAACAGATGGCGCTATAAATCAAATTTAACAGACAATTGTAATACTGTTTGACATTAATATCTCATAGATGGCGCTGTTTTAAAAATACCAACGTTTCACATAAGCTACAATTTGATGGCGTAAACACGACGTGTTGCTGAGGCTAAAGTCTAAGTGAAATTTATTTCGTAGTAAACGCAATACAGTGAAATCCAATTGTTCTTACTTTGTTAATTTTTGGTATTAGCATAGCCGGCCACGTGCTATTTAGAAACAAAAATCGGTTTGCTGACGGTAGTTGAACTTGACAACGTCATAAGAAAATACTGATGGAATGGTTTTATTTTTCAAAACAAAATTTCAATTTTATTTGTTTGATAGATATTGTCGCTCGTTGCGCGCTCTCGCTTGCACTTCAAGCCTTAAATGGAACGCCTCAGAGCGAGGTAACGCCGCATGAGTCATGTTTTTTCGTGCGTACAGCCGGCTCCATCGAATTATAAGACGTTGTCACGTCAAAAACCTTAGCCACAGCAACGTGTGCCTGGGTCTGCTAGTTCAAGTATATAAAAATAAAAGGTTGTCGGTATCATATTAGACTTACAACACGTTAAACCTTCACAGTTCTGGGTGAACTTGTCAAACAAACTGTATTAAGCCGTAAAATTGTTATTTGTCTTTGACTCCCTCAATACTTAAAGCTAATGTTTTCTTATCTAATTTCACTTATACTAATCACATTATATAGATTATTTGAATCTCCTAAGTAACTAATCTTATAACGACAGCTTGGCAGTTTTTGTTATATATATTTTTTTATTATTTATATTATTTTATATATCTTTTGTGCCGATTGAAATCGTGCATAAACGCCTTAGCTGGGCCGCATATTGCAAGCAGTCCGCCAGAAAACGAGAATATTTGAGCAAGGACGCGAGCGGCGACAACCTGCGTTCTACGACCGGACGATTGCTCCGACTATGAAGTTTAATGTTTCGTACAATGTGCGAGATCTGTAGTACTTTATAGTAACAAATGTATTCATCCGTGCGCTTTGTCTGATTTAGTAATTTCCGTCAGAAACATCACCTAATATCCGTTTTGCCTTTAATTTGTTGGATTGTGATTGTTTTGATTGATTACCTAGGCCCTTAGCACATTACAAAATTATGTGGACTAGAGAAGTTCTCCTGGTTTGTAGATGTACGTCTCACTAAACAGTAATTCAACTTTTACACGACACAATACTCGGCAAAAGGAATCATCGTCAAAAATCCACGAAAAATATCTTACGCAAAAAAAAATTACATACTTTTTTCCGTGTCTCATTGGAAGGCGAATATCATTATCAACAACGGCACGGCGATAACGCACACCATGTACACTGAGGTCCTGGGTTCGCATTCCGATATGATGACGAATTGTTCGTTCCACAAGGAATCGTTGTTACGGAGAGGCACTTCAAGGACCACCTGTAAACAAAAACAGTGTGGTGTGTTTAGTGAGAGTTTTTTAACGTTCTCGATAGCGTAAAAGTTAACGCAATTTTGTATGCAGTTAGAACAGCGCCCCTAGCGGCAAACGTACGCAAACGATCCCATTCCATACAAGTATGAGCTAACTTTTTTTTTTTTTTTTTTATTGCTTGGATGAGTGGACGAACTCACAGCCCACCTGGTGTTAAGTGGTTACTGGAGCCCATAGACATCTACAACGTAAATGCGCCACCCACCTTGAGATATAAGTTCTAGGGTCTCAGTATAGTTACAGCGGCTGCCTCATCTTTCAAACCGAAAGGCATTACTGCTTCACGGCAGAAATAGGCCATGGCGGTGGTAACTACCCGCGCGGACTCACAAGAGGTCCTACCACCAGTAATGACGCGAATTATAATTTTGCGGGTTTGATTTTTATTACACGATGTTATTCCTTCACCGTGGAAGTCAATCGTGAACATTTGTTGAGTACGTATTTCATTAGAAAAATTGGTACCCGCCTGCGGGATTCGAACACCGGTGCATCGCACATCACGAAAGCACCGCACGTCTTATCCTTTAGGCCACGACGACTTCAAATTATTTACATTCAATATTATCTTTATTTGAGCTTACGAAAGCCATATCTTGAAGCTCTGGTGAAAGTGAAAGCCTTATAAGTGGCTGCCATTGTAGCTGATTGTCTAGTATTATTGATATTGCTATGGTGAAAGTGTTTAGAGATATTGCTGTCTTTTGTGTTCACTGCTCTTGTTAAATGCCGCCCATCATCTTGACCCAGAAGTTCGAAATCTTTAAAATAGCTCGGGCACCCTTCAGATCGGTTTGCACGTTGGAGAAACATGCCGGATGGTGGTAGGTACCCGCGTGGCGAACTAGCCATATGTAATTTAGTACTGGTGGTAGGACCTTTTGTGAGTCCGCGCGGGTAGGTACAACCACCCTGCCTATTTCTGCCGTGAAGCAGTAATGCGTTTCGGTTTGAAGGGCGGGGCGGCCGTTGTAACTATACTGAGATCTTAGAACTTATATCTCAAGGGGGGTGGCGCATTTACGTTGTGGATGTCTATGGGCTCCAGTAACCACTTAACACCAGGTGGGGTTTGAGCTCGTTCACCCGTTTTAAAAACATTAAAGACGTCCCTACTCCGTCATATATCTATATATTAATACGTAAAGCAGAAACTTTGTATCCCTTTTTACGAAAATTGCGAAACTTATAGAGAATACAGAGAAGGAGTGCACAATGCTAATATTTTTTTTAAATAATGCATAAAAGATACATTAAATCAATAAAGAAAACATTACACACACTACATACCATGTATTTGACGCACACACGCATGCATACTATTAATTGTCAAACTTTTGTTCTTGACATCTGTGGTCAAATTGAGAATAGATTAAATATTGTTTGTCTTTATTAATATTTTTCTATAGTGTATGTAGTCTTTGGGTTGAAAATACAATCATAATAGTGTACAAACTTACAATTCTAATTAATTATAGTCGAATTTCGACTACTGCGGGACCTCTAGTATACAAGAATTGCTCGTTTAAAGGTATAAGATAAGATAAGATAAGATAAGATAAATCGTTTTTTAAAAGGGAATTTTTGTAATTCTCGTTTAACAGTACCTTTTGAGTGGAGAATATGTCCAGCGCCAGATCGCATCTCGCAGTGCTGTTGGTGCACTCGCGCAGCTTGCTTCGCGCCACTTCGTACTTCGTCTTCTGAAGGTCGAACCGAGCCCGGATGTAGTTCCTCTGCACTTCGTTCTCGGAGTTAAACACGAAGAAGTAGTAGCCATTCGCTGGGACTCTGATGGGGAAAGGGAATTTATTTTATCGGCATACATATTTCTTATTTATTTTTTATTGCTTAGATGGATGGACGATCTCACAGCCCACCTAGTATTGAGTGGTTACTGGAGCATAGACATCTACAACGTAAATGCGCCACCCACCTTGAAATATAAGTTCTAAGGTCTCAGTTTAGTTATAACGGCTGCCCCGCCCTTCAAACCGAATCGCGGTAGAAATAGGCAGGGTGGTGGTACCTACCCACGCGGACTCACAAGAGGTCCTACCACCAGTAAACCGTTCCGCACACTATAGATTCGGGACTGTCTCGCAAGGCACCGGCGCCACTGACCTGTACGTGAGCGCATTGGCCTTGGAGGCGGAGAGGGCGTCGTCGGCACCGGCCCCGCGGCGACAGGCACCGTGCGGCGTCAGCGGCAGATACAGCACCAGACCCGCGCACTCTAGCAGCGCCTCTTCGCTGCTGGAGAACGACGACCAGAACTCCGAATTGCTCATGTCGAACGCTGTCGTCTCGTTGACTTGGTCGTGGTGTTCCGCGTAGCCGTCTGGTGAGAGACCCTGGAGTGAGGAGTTGTTTTTAAGTATTGTGAAGTATGTGTAGTAGGACCAAATCATACGAGACAAGAGAGTTTTATTTTTATTTTAATTGTCCGTTATGGTGAGTGGTTATCGTCGCCCATGGTTTACAACAATGCCAGGGGCAGAGCCAAGCCGCTGCCTACCGCTTAATACTCTCCACAAGCCTCGTTTGAAGAAGGACATGTCATAGCGCTCGGGAAACACCGTGGAGGGGAGCTCATTCCATAGCCGGATGGTACGTGGCAAAAACCGTGGTTAATGATGTTCATTTATAAGTGCTGGACTAATACAGACTGCCTTTACAGACACCACTGGGTTTTTTTTTTTTTTGCATAGATGGGTGGCCGAGCTTACAGCCCACCTGGTGTTAAGTGGTTATTGAAGCCTATAGACATCTACAACGTAAATGCCGCCACCCACCTCAAGATATGAGTTCTAAGGTCTCAGTATAGTTACAACGGCTGCCTCATCCTTCAAACCGAAACGCATTACTGCTTCACGGCAGAAACAGCCAGGGTGGTGGTACCTACCCGTGTGGACTCACAAGGGGTCCTACCACCAGTAAAGTCTTTTATTTATCGATTGAGGCACTACGAAGTCTGCCGGGTCAGCTAGTTTCGAATAAAATTTCATTTACAAGGGGAGTATTGTCTGGGCCGTAGAACACAACACTATGTACCTACTTCTTCTGCCGCGAGATCCCTCGCCTCGTCGTTTTGGTTCAGCAGCTGTTGCAGCTCCTGCTGTCGCAGCATCAGGTCCCTCCTGGCGCGCGCCTCCTCTCTGGCGTCACGTCGCTTCTCTGCAATACAATCAATGGTCTGTGCATTCTTCTGTTCAGGAAGCGGGAACAATTTTCATCGCAAGTTCGTACGTATTTGAAATTCAGAAGAGGGGTCTTCATCTATCGCCGAATAGTCGAACGAATATCGAAGGATCTAGTAGCACCTAGAACGCTCGAGAAGTACAACGCCATCTATTGTCAGATAACGGAAACACAATACTAAAGATGTGTGGAATATTCTCGATAATTCTAGGGATGTGGTATCGGCTATAAAAGCGTTGCAGGGATGGCACGCAGTCAGTCAGTAATCGGAGCTACTCGAAGCGAAACAGCGAACGGATCACCTAAAGCGAAGCGGAAGAAGTGAATTGAGAATTTTAAAGTGTTTGTTGAGTGTTTTAAGTGCTCTAAGTGCTGAATACAGTTTTTAGTTGTTGTTTGGTGGAATTTTATTTATCCCGAACACCAATGCATAACATTACTTTGGTTGGGGGAACTTTTTCCAGTGTTTTTTTTATTGCTTAGTTGGGTGGACAAGCACTATGAGTAACAAATTCTAAGCACAAGTTGAACAATGCAACGAATGCCCTTAAAACACCCTTGATACAGAGATGCATTATTGCTTCAGGGCAGACATGGGTATGATGATTATTGGATGGATTATTGCTTCACGGCAGAAATGGGTATGATAGTGGTACCTTCCCTTGCAGGTTACCAGTACGCGTTAAGACCACTAAAGAAAAAAATTATAATGTTTATTGAATTAAAGAAAGTGGCTCACGCTGCCTTTGCGCCCTAGTTCTCTCCTCGTCGATAGCTTCTACCAGGACCTGACGGAGCCGATCCAGCTCCTCGCTGCTTCCGCGAGCCGCAGCCAGGGTGTTGGAGTGCGAACCCTGAAATTGTCGAGATACATTTTGATGAAACTTCAAAAAAAACGTGTGTGTGCAAAGTCACACACGGTAGCAGTAAAACTTATAAAGAATAAGAATAATCGCAAGGGTCAACCACCAACCACTGCACAGTTCAATGGAGCAGCCACACCCTGAGGGAGCTGCCTACATGATCACGGTATCTCTACGCCAAGTAAGTACGATATAGCAAGAGAAATACGAGAACGTCTATCAACTGTGTAACATCTCGTCATCGCGATTCAGGAATTGTTGAATTTACGTGCAGCGACATCTGTTGATAACAAACTAAATAGAAATAATTGTAAATCATCTTTTATAGTATGAGGTAGCGCCCTCTGTGAATTGATATTTTAACTTCACGTTTCATTTTTTCGTTTCATCGAGTTTGAAATGACTTCACAACAATTCTAAAGAAGTTTCACTTCAAAAACCTGGCCAGTTGTGATTTATTGGTTGGTGGTTACACAACAAGCCTTAGCCTCGACCCTGGCCGGACGCCCATGGACTCCACGTAACATCTACTGATTGGAACACCGACGAACAACACCCAGGTCTTCCGCGATCACGAACTTTCAAGTATTCGAAACAGCGGAAACAATATAATGACAATAGTTCTAATTACAACTCAAAACGTTTACGTTACGTATCAAAACGTCGTCCGAGTTAGTTGTCGCCCGCTCAGTCATACTGTTAATGATGATGACCGTTTTTCTCCTACTATTTATTTATTAGTTACGCGTCATATCTGTGACGTCAGAATAGCGAGTGCGGGAGGTAGTGCACGTACCTCCCCGGGGGGTGTCCCTCCCACGCTCGCGTGTAGTCTCCGCAGCACCCGGTCCCCGCGCTTCCCCAAAGCTCGCAGTCTCCTCAATACATCTTCGAAAATTTCTTGTGAACTCGCTTCTGAGTTTTGTTCCTGAAAGATACGTTTTTAATTAACGGCAGCTAAAAATAAGTAAAATGATAAATGGCCACTGTCACCCGCGGAAACCCTTGCCCAGCGCGAACCCATTTAACGCTGTTTAAGAAGTACGGAAAAATGGTTGTCATGGGTTTGATTTAAAATGAACTCTAGTGCTACCGATGTCTGCTCACTTGTCCTTTTACTGTTGCAGACGGTAGAGCGAGATCAGCCGCGGGTGCTAATTAGCTACCGAGGATCGTAGGCATATGGACTCTGCCGGCTATGCGTACTATGAAGTTGAACACTCCTTTATTTTCGTAATAATGTCAGTACCGATTAGGGAATATTAGCGGATTTTTGCTTAATACGCCATTCCTTGGTTCTGGTGAAAAAGGAATCTGGGTTTGTCCTAGAGCCCTGCCTAGGATATTTACATTTCGTTAAACATAAACAAGAAGAGTGGTCGCGGCGGATGCCTCCCCCTCCTCGCACCTAATCAAATCTAACCCTCCCCCCTGTCCTGCGTCCCAACAGGCTGCAGACTTCGGTCACCTAACTTTGTCAGAACTCTCTTGTGGATTGCGAAAATGGATCATCAATCTTTGTTAAATTTACTTTTATTCTGTTCAGTGTTAGCGAAGCAATACCCCACTATATTCTACCTTATCACTTTGATTGGCCGTTTGTGAATGGAAGCTTATTCAATGATATAGAATTTTTGAAAATTAAGTACCGGATTCTCGTATTTGGTCGTGGTGGTTTCATATTTTTTCGTATAAGGTATATCTAAGCGGTTGTTGTGTCCATTCGGTCTGTTGTATCTTCTGTCCTTCAGACGACTCTTACGTTCGTTATTTTCTTGTCTTCTCGAATCTTCTGGTGCCACGTGACTGGCAACAGGTTCAATGCTTTCTTTAGATTCTAATATTTCTTTTCCATTCTGCACAGTAGACGGGGTTGGAGTTACGGTAGCATCTTTTTCCTTGAAATGTTTGATAGTGTTATTTGTCGACTTAAGTTCTGGTTCACTTGAATTAGTTTTAAATTTATTCTCATTTTCAACATTAGCGCCATTAGCTTTTGGATATTTTTCAGTCGTTTCAAGAACTATATTATCTTCGATGGTTGTTAGATTATGTTTATTGATTTCTTCCACATTAGGGTCTTGTGTTGTATTCCTGGTATCTGATGTTTCCTTTTTATTAATGTGTTCACTATTGGTGCCGTCGAGTTCTGAAAAAATGTTCGATGTTAAAATTTTGATTTGGTTCACAGCGGCCTCTATCCCAAACTATTGAGCTTTGAACTAATCTTTGGAATGTAAGCTGTTATTTCTTTTGATGCAACGCCATGAACGAACCTTCAAATGATAACCATCTCCGCTCGTCTCTATCAACGTTCGCATCTCTATGTCGATGTAGAGCCGGTAGAGACATTAAATGAGAAGGAATGTGGTAATATTTTAACTGCTCATCTTTTACTGCCTGACGGAGAGCGTGCAGCCTCTCTAAAATCTCACGCAGTTCCTGGAAGATACAGACAAATTTATAAGTTTTCAGTTTGATTCGCCTATTGATAATTGAAGACCGGATCATTGGAGGTCACGTACTCCAAGCGTAGACAAAAAAAGGCTTTATTTTCCACACTCACTTTTGGATCTTGATCGGTGACGTCAGCGTTGTGGACATTCTCCGATAGTGCGCTCACGTTAGCTGTCTTGTTAGCGTCGTAGAAGCTGACTCCAGCTCTGTGGCGCCTCATCGTGTCTGCAACAGACCGGACGCTGCCGTCAGCATCATGAGCGGCCTACACTGATCAACTGCTGGACATGTTCCTAACCTAATTATGGGTGGCTCAACGCCCACCTGCTTTTAAGCAGACAGCGGTACCATACAGTTGTGTGCTGCAGACCGTCTTCATCCCTCTAGCTAATAAGCTCATACGTGAATCAATCCATTTCGTGAATCAATGTGGGTTGTACATTATAATTTGCGTAATTACTGGTGGTAGGACCTCTTGTGAGTCCGCGTGGGTAGGTACCAACGCCCCACCTATTTCTGCCGTGAAGCAGTAATGCGTTTTGGTTTGAAGGGCGGGGCAGCCGTTGTAACTATACTGAGACCTTAGAACTTATATCTCAAAGTGGGTGGCGCATTTATGTTGTAGATGTCTATGGACTCCAGTAACCACTTAACACCAGGTGGGCTGTGAGGTCTTCCACCAGACTAAGCAATAAACAAAAAAGGTACGATGGTGCTGCTAACACTGATAAACTATCTAATTATTAAAAAGTATTGTAATTCTTTAACAAAGCACCTTCTTGAAAGTTAAAGTGATGGAGGATTGGTTCAGTGATGAGTTTCTTCACCCGTTTACATCCTTACCAGGATCGTTAGCCTTCCCGTCAATTTTCTTAAGCTCTTGAATCTTCTCCAGCAACGTGCTATTCGTCATCAGCCCCAATTTGTACGCCTCTATCAGCTCGTCCAGTTCTTCTGAAGAGTCGTCTCCAATATACGCGCACTCCTGGAGATGCTTGTAGCCCTTAATCATTATGAGGGAGGCTCCTGGCCAACTGCGAAGAGAACAGATTGTGAAATTCATTAAATGAATGTTCGACTGGTGTGTATATCATATTGTTACGCGCTGGGGTTCGGGATAAATAAAATTTTACCAAAGTACAACTTAAAACTGTATCCAACACTTAGAACACTTAAGCACTTTAAAACACTCAACAAACATTTTAAAACTCTCAATTCGCTTGTTCCGCTTCGCTTCAGGTGATCCGTTCGCTGTTTCGCTTCGAGTAGTTTCGATTACTGACTGACTGCGTGCCATCTCTGCAACGCTTTTATAGCCGATTATTATATTCATAATCATCCCTAGAATTATCAAGAATATTCCACACATCTCTAGTAGTAGTTTTCGCTATCTGAAAACAGATGGCGTTGTACTTCTCGAGCGTTCTAGGCCCTTCGATATTTGTTCGACTATTCGGCGATAAATGGCGTTACTGTTACCAGCGTAACAATATTTATAGCGTATATAGTCCTGAGGTCAATAAAATATGCTATTAATTATCGAATTTACATGGCTGGTCTACCGTCACTCGGCTCTCACGTGAGGCGTGATGTCAACTACTGATATTGTACCACACGTATGGATCGGGAATTACTCCCACATCTGTATTTCCGCAGCGATGTTACTTTGTTTCTCAAATTACGTCGAAATGGTCCATATTGGTAAGCAATAGTTGGAGCTGTGGAAGGCCCCTGTGTTCTTAGTGCGAGGTATTTAACTTCGCGACAGCGCTTACTATGTTTGCCGCTAGGGGCGCTGTTCCAACTCCATACAAATTTGAGTTAGCTTTTACGCGAACGAGAAGTTAATATTCTCGGACTAAGCACACTGTATCTCATCATCTAAATTTAAATTGTAATTGACAACATAGAGACGGTGACTACGTTTTTTTTAATGCATAGGTGTGGACAAGCTCACAGCCCACCTGGTGTTAAGTGGTTACCGGAGCCCATAGACATCTACAGCGTTAATGCGCCACCCACCTTGAGATATAAGTTCTCAGGTCTCAAGTATAGTTACAACGGCTGTCTCACTCGTCAAACCGAAACGCATTACTGCTTCCTGGCTGAAATAGGCAGGGCGGTGGTACCTACCCGCGCGGACTCACAAGACGTCCTACCACCACGTTTTACCATGGCTACCGTTTAATTGGTTTAACCACTTAAAACTTATCCAAACTCCATCTCAATACCTATTTTTCAAGAATAGCTGGTTTTCAAAAGAAGTGACCAAGAAGATGATAGTACTGACTGAGGAAATTTCCCTTATCATAAAATAATTTACCTAACACAAGCTGAAACAGTAACGCTTGAGCCCTTAAGCAGATAGAAGCCCCAATACTCTTTCATGTCGTCTTCTAGCTCCAGTTCTCTGGTCATGGAGACCGGGACAAGCTCTTCGGCCATCTCCGGAGGACCTGGCACCACGAAAGCGTTGAATGTAGCATTCGATCTTACGACTTGTCTCTGAAAGAATAAGATGCCCGATTTTAGGAAAAATCTTCCAATTATAAAGATTTTTAATTACAAAGGTAGGTATTTCTCTGATGTTTTTTTTATTGTTTAGATGGGTGGACGACCTCACAGCCCACCTGGTGTTAAGTGGTTACTGGAGCCCATAGACATCTACGACGCAAATGCGCCACCCACCTTGAGATATAAGTTCTAAGATCTTAGTATAGTTACAACGGCTACCCCACCCTTCAAACCGAAGCGCATTACTGCTTAGAACTTATATCTCAAGGTGGGTGGCGCATTTACGTTGTAGATATCTATGGGCTCCAGTAACCACTTAACACCAGGTGGGCTGTCAGCTCGTCCATCCATCTAAGCAATAAAAAGAAAATAAACAAATAAATTCCGTACGGGTCGAGCTAAATAAAACCGTTTGAAAAACTCAGTTAGCTGTTCTAATCTGTTTTAGATCCGCACAGTATTGTATGGTATTGTATAATGGTGTCTTATTTATTCTACGAATTAATTTTATAAAAACGTCAATAAAAACCAGACTGGCTCTTATATCTATTAAGAATTTTATGACCATGAAATTATAAGGAAACTTGAACCTTAGGCCGCGCTAAACAGTGATCAAATTTCCCTGATAATTCATCGAAAAGCATGCCAGCGATCGTAAACTTTATGGCTCAACGAATAAGGGTCATAAAAAATTACTTTTAAGCGACAAGTTGTAACCGATAAGAGAGTTATCATTGGGTGTTATCAGCCGCAGACTTAGGGCAATACAACTAAGCCTATGTGATAAAAACTGTCTTGGACTGCGTTAACGCTTTCGCCGATCAATGAGCTAATTATTAATGGTCGCAATGGACTGATGAGTTGGAAGATATGTTTGCTTTACGGGTGGTAGGACCTCTTGTGAGTCCGCGCGGGTAGGTACCACCGCTATGCCTATTTCTGCCGTGAAGCAGTAATCCGTTTCAGTTTGAAGGGTAGGGCAGCCGTTGTAACTATACTGAGATCTTAGAACTTATATCTCAAGGTGGGTGGCGCATTTACGTTGTAAATGTCTATGGGCTCCAGTAACCACTTAACACCAGGTGGGCTGTGAGCTCGTCCATCAATCTAAGCAATAAAAAAAAAGTGCGTGTTTGTAACATTAACTCAATGGGATGTGTCTATGAGTTAGTTTACTCGCCGAGCCCTTTGTCGCAAGCGACGGGTTCGACGAGAACGATAACCGGTGCTTGAGGTAGCTAAAAGCACCGTTAGTGGATCGGGAGGATCCGAAATGACGTGTTTGGGGCGACGTCGACTGTTCACCGTTCTGTCCGCAGGACCGGGAATGCTCGATCGCGTTAAAGTTAACTCAAATTTGTATGGAGTTGGAACAGCTTCTGTTCGTTTGCCGCTAGGGGCGCTGTTCCAACTTCATACAAATTTAAGTTAACTTTTACGGGATCGAGAAGTTAAATAACTCGCAATAAGCACACAGGCGGTGATAAGTGGGGCGGGAGAGTGCCATGCTGAATAAGTCGAAAAGTCACGAAATTTATTAACACGCTTTTATTAGCTTGCTATGCGTAACGGAATCTTTGAGCGTCATTTTCACAGACCTCAAGAAACCGATCAACTTGAAAACTTGCAAACGCATCGAGGACCGATGATGATACATGTATAATGATGTTTATATAGTATGATATACTGTACATTTATTGTAGCTAGTTTTCTATACTAATATTATAAAGAGGAAAGATTTGTTTGTTTGTTTGTTTCGAATAGGCTCCGAAACTACTGGACCGATTTGAAAAATTCTTTTTCCATTAGAAGCCGACATTGTCCCTGATGAACATAGGCTACTTTTTTAATTTTTTTTTATTTTTATTTTTTGGTTTCATGTGTGTTTTAATGTTTCCGAAGCGAAGCGAGGGCGGTCACTAGTAACTTAATATTTTATTATACTTTATTGTATGACACACATACACACACACACACACAAACACACTGACATACACACACTCACACGTACGTACTATATTCTTACAGATGGCTCTTCCTGGTTAACTTTCTTTACCTGGTGACCTAGCACTGAACCACTGACTTTTGTAACACAGGTTTTCCTAGCATAAAAGTCAGGGAATTTTGTTATTGTATACCTTATAAAAAAGCCATGTATATTATTACACTAGTGTTAAGAATGTTTTGTACGTAGTCAAGTTGCGGGCCACGCGGAGTACGTTTTAAAAAATAGAAATTATATTTTATGAACGTTTATTCCGTACCAAATCTGACTTAAGACTAACTTATTACTAATCTTAATCTAACGGGAAGGGCATCGGACCACCGGTCCAGCGGATGCCGTCGTCTGCGAATTCCACAATTCAGCAGTTGAGTTCGCCGAAGATCTNAAGCAAAAAAAAAAAACGCTTCACTTTCCCCCCTTTGCCTTGTCATGAGTTCTGTCTCATGCGAGTTTTGGACGTTGGTTGTTGAGCGACAGGAGGTTTTAGTCACTTCGACTCTGACATACCCCGCCCAGTATCCCGAGAAAAGGGCGGAAGTCCGGCGATTTCCTCCTGACCAAAAAAAAAATAACATGTCGCACACCTAGATCTAAAGAGGTATTAACTCAAAAAAGCACTTTTTTCAGAAAACACGAAAAACTGTTTTCTGTGTCCCTGTGCACTGCAGGAGCGCTTTCTTTTTATAGTTTACTTTATTTATACACAATAAGAATTATCTTGTAGTCATTTTGTGTTTTATACACGTTTTAAGGTAAAAAATTGGAATTTTTAAGTTATTTCCCTTTTGCTTATTAATGTACGTATATTTGCTATACTAATTTGAATTGAGCCTGTGTTGGTGAATTAAGTTTTTAGTTGACTCTCTTTTAAGAGGCATTATACAATTAGATCACAATAACTTTTTGAATTATATAAGATAAGTCCAATTAACAGAGTGTGGTGTGACCAACAGTAAGAGTATAATTTTGCTAATAAAAAATAAAAAAATAAAAGAAACTATTGCAGTCAATCAATATTGTATATTAGTTCTATTATTATTAGTAGCATTAACTTATGTCAGGCTCATAAACCCAAATGGGTCATAGTAACTCTTAAACATTGTTGAGGGCCCTAAAATTTTGTGTACTTCAGTACCGATATTTAGGCTTTATTTGTTGCGAGTGGCGTACTATGAATTTTCTTTGCCTTTCAAGATCGCTGAGTGCCCAATATGCGTCAAAGACCTGTTGTCTTGACATCTCGTCCACTTTATCTTTGCATTTTAGGCGACATTTGTCTCCACAGGGTAGTCCAACCTTTCTTTCTAGTATTAGTTTCTTAGATTTTGACAAGGACTGATAGGCTTTGCCAGAACTTCTCTGTTGTTTCGCGATTTTCGACTTCCACGTTGCTGGTTTACGTACTCTCTTTTTGCCCTTTTTTTCGATCTCAATACCAGATTCAGGAATCTAAACATTTTCCGGACCTACTTGCTTACTATCATCTTCGGTATCCGACGAACTCGAGTTGCTGCTGCTGGTGCTGGACGAAGTCGCCGATAATAATGAAGGTATGACCTTAGGTGGGAGCTCATTTTTGTTTCACAGTTGAAAATTAGGATCTTCATCAGAGTCGTCAATATCACTTTCATCGCTCCGGATCGGTGAAATATAGTAGTTCGGGGCAACATAATTTTGTTGTTTAGATGGGCTACTGCTAGGTACAGATGTTTAACCGGTGTCAAGACAGCATGAGTTTCATTGGATGAAACTTCATCACTTGATGATATTATCTTCAAGTCATCTTCCACGGTTGCATGTTGCGTAGAAGTGATAGGAGGAGCGATATTTTCTTCATCCCGTTTTTTTATCATATTTACTAAAAATCGCCCGCAGTGCATTATTTTCCTGAAATATAAAATGTTTATGTTACGAACTTACCGAGTCACGTGCTCCAAATCAATTTAGAAAGCCGATAAAAAAACATTTTGAATCTTTTTAGCTATTTTGTAAAATGATATTTGTCAGAAATCATCTAAAGGGATCTAACTTGAAAAATTGGCAGTAAAAAAGGAATAAACTTTGTTAATGCTAAGATGAATATTAAATTGTACTAAGACCTAAAAACTCCAATCGCCAATAACGAAATAAGTTTAATTTTGATAAGATTTTACAGATAAAGGAGGGCATAAAATATGACTCAACAAAATAGACACAACTACAAAATCAAAAATGTTTCAAGAATAGGGTAACAACTCAAAATAAAAATAAAAACTTTACTCACCTTGCCAGCAATATAGGTTTAACTTAAAATGTTGCATCTATTTAATCAGCAATAACCATCTAAAAGGTGACAATTCAAATTAACTCCATTTTTTTTACGGAGAGTACGTGTACTCCGCTCGTAATTCTGATTGCAACTAGCATTGTTTCCGTTTAGGCGCGAGAGGGGCTGGCTCGCTCGTTCAACAAAAGGGACTCTAGGTGCCATCTAGCGTTGAGTTTTGTACTTATTTTTAAATCTGTTTTATTGGTCAGATAGGTATCCGTATAGGAAATTAAATGGTGAGCATAACTCAATCATACAGATTTTTGACTTAACTCTCTTTAGATCTAGGTGTGCGATGTGTGGATCGGGAATTACTCCCACATCTGTATTTCCGCAGCGATGTTACTTTGTTTCTCAAATGACGTCGAAATGGTCCATATTGGTAAGCAATAGTTGGAACTGTGGAAGGCCCCTGTGTTCTTAGTGCGAGTTATTTAACTTCGCGACAGCGCTTACTATGTTTGCCGCTAGGGGCGCTGTTCCAACTCCATACAAATTTGAGTTAGCTTTTACGCGAACGAGAAGTTAATATTCTCGGACTAAGCACACTGTATCTCATCATCTAAATTTTAATTGTAATTGACAACATAGATACGGTGACTCCGTTTTTTTTTAATGCATAGGTGTGGACAAGCTCACAGCCCACCAGGTGTTAAGTGGTTACTAGAGCCCGTAGACATCTACAGCGTTAATGCGCCACCCACCTTGAGATATAAGTTCTCAGGTCTCAAGTATAGTTACAACGGCTGCCTCACTCGTCAAACCGAAACGCATTACTGCTTCCCGGCTGAAATAGGCAGGGTGGTGGTACCTACCCGTGCGGACTCACAAGACGTCCTACCACCACGTTTTACCATGGCTACCGTTTAATTGGTTTAACCACTTAAAACTTATCCAAACTCCATCTAAATACCTATTTTTCAAGAATAGCTGGTTTTCAAAAGAAGTGACCAAGAAGATGATAGTACTGACTGAGGAAATTTCCCTTATCATAAAATAATTTACCTAACACAAGCTGAAACAGTAACGCTTGAGCCCTTGAGCAGATAGAAGCCCCAATACTCTTTCATGTCGTCTTCTAGCTCCAGCTCTCTGGTCATGGACACCGGGACAAGCTCTTCGGCCATCTCCGGAGGACCTGGCACCACGAAAGCGTTGAATGTAGCATTCGATCTTACGACTTGTCTCTGAAAGAATAAGATGCCCGATTTTAGAAAAAATCTTCTAAATACAAAGATTTTTAATATAAAGGTAGGCATTTCTATGATGCTGGGGTTAAGTACCCATGATCGATCATTGAATCACTCTGTTAAGGTTGCTGGTACTAGGCGGACTTAATGCCTAAGGCATTCTCTACCAGTCACCCAAAGGTAGTGCAGAGTAAATAGTGATAAGTGCAATGAAATTTATATTAAATTACAAATACATACACAATATATATACACAATCACATATACATACATACATAAATAAGTACACACATATATACATACATATAATAGTTTATACAGTATTAAAAGGAATGTATTAATAAATTCAATTTTGTTGTTGGAAATTTCAGAATGACATTATTCAATATGCTCTGGAGAGCTCGGATGTCATCGACCTTTTCATGGGCTTTTAGATTAGGGGATTAATTTAATTACTAAAATTACAAGCATTTAGTTTCTTTACTCACTGGTGGTAGGACCTCTTGTGAGTCCGCACGGGTAAGTACCACCGCCCTGGCTATTTCTGCCGTGAAGCAGTAATGCGTTTCGGTTTGAAGGGCTATGGCAGCCGTTATAACCATACTGAGACCACAGAACTTATATCTCAAGGTGGGTCGCGTATTTACGTTGTAGATGTCTATAGGCTCCAGTAACCATTTAACACCAGGTGGGCTGTCAGCTCGTCCATCCATCTATGCAATAAAAAAAAAACTCAATTTGCTGTTCTAATCTGTTTTAGATCCGCACAGTATTGTATGGTATTGTATAATGGTGTCTTATTTATTCTACGAATTAATTTTATAAAAACGTCAATAAAAACCAGACTGGCTCTTATATCTATTAAGAATTTTATGACCGTGAAATAACAAGGAAACTTGAACCTTAGGCCGCGCTAACCAGTGATCAAATTTCCCTGATAATTCATCGAAAAGCATGCCAGCGATCGTAAACTTTATGGCTCAACGAATAAGGGTCATAAAAAAATATTTTTAAACGACAAGTTGTAACCGATAAGACAGTTATCACTGGGTGTTATCAGCCGCAGACTTAGGGCAATACAACTAAGCCTATGTGATAAAAACTGTCTTGGACTGCGTTAACGCTTTCGCCGATCAATGAGCTAATTATTAATGGTCGCAGTGGACTGATGAGTTGGAAGATATGTTTGCTTTACGGGTGGTAGGACCTCTTGAGAGTCCGCGCGAGTAGGTACCACCGCTATGCCTATTTCTGCCGTGAAACAGTAATCCGTTTCGGTTTGAAGGGTAGGGCAGCCGTTGTAACTATACTGAGATCTTAGAACTTATATCTCAAGGTGGGTGGCGCATTTACGTTGTAAATGTCTATGGGCTCCAGTAACCACTTAACACCAGGTGGGCTGTGAGCTCGTCCATCAATCTAAGCAATAAAAAAAGTGCGTGTTTGTAACATTTACTCATCGAACCCTTTGTCGCAAGCGACGGGTTCGACGAGAACGATGACCGGTGCTTGAGGTAGCTAAAAGCACCGTTAGTGGATCGGGAGGATCCGAAATGACGTGTTTGGGGCGACGTCGACTGTTTACCATTCTGTCCGCAGGACCGGGAATGCTCGATCGCGTCAAAGTTAACTCAAATTTGTATGGAGTTGGAACAGCTTCTGTTCGTTTGCCGCTAGGGGCGCTTTTGCAACTTCATACAAATTTGAGTTAACTTTAAGCGATCGAGGAGTTAAATAACACGCAATAAGCACACAGGCGGTGATAAGTAGAGCGGGAGAGTGCCATGCTGAATAAGTCGAAAAGTCACGAAATTTATTAATACGCTTTTATTAGCTTGCTATGCGTAACGGAATCTTTGCACGTCATTTTCACAGACCTCAAGAAACCGATTAACTTGAAAACTTGCAAACGCATCGAGGACCGATGATGATACATGTATAATGATGTATATATAGTATGATACACTGTTCATTTATTGTAGCTAGTTTTCTATACTAATATTATAAAGAGGAAAGATTTGGTTGTTTGTTTGTTTCGAATAGGCTCCGAAACTACTGGACCGATTTGAAAAATTCTTTTTCCATTAGAAGCCGACATTGTCCCTGATGAACATAGGCTACTTTTTTAATATTTTTTTTATTTTTAATTTTTGGTTTCATGTGTGTTTTAATGTTTCCGAAGCGAAGCGAGGGCGGTCACTAGTAACTTAATATTTTATTATACTTTATTGTATGACACACATACACACACACACACACAAACACACTGACATACACACACTCACACGTACGTACTATATTCTTACAGATGGCTCTTCCTGGTTAACTTTCTTTACCTGGTGACCTAGCACTGAACCATTGACTTTTGTAACACAGGTTTCCCTAGCATAAAAGTCAGGGAATTTTGTTATTGTATACCTCATAAAAAAGCCATGTATATTATTACACTAGTGTTAAGAATGTTTTGTACGTGTTTGCATTTTAAGAGGCTTGAATAAATATATTATTATTATATTAATTTTATACCTTCGGTCCATAACTCTGACCAGTGTTGATGAAAGGGTAAACAAAAACATGAAATTCATTAATTATTTTGGTTTTTGGCGTGTTATTTGGATTTCTAATTACCCATCGAAACAGTATCTTCCGTTTCTTATCTATATATTAATACGTGAAGCAAAAACTTTGTATCCCTTTTTACGAAAATTGCGCGGACGGAGGAGTATGAAATTTCCCACACTTATAGAGAATATAGAGAAGGGGTGCAGAAGGTTAATATTTTTTTTAATTATACCTAAAAAATACATTAAATCAATTAAAAAAACATTACACACACTACATACCATGTATTTGACGCACACACGCATGCATACTATTTATTGTCAAACTTTTGTTCTTGACGTCTGTTGTCAAATTGAGAATAGATTAAATATTGTTTGCCTTTATTAATATTTTTCTTGTAGTCTTGGCGAAATTTGTGTTTATAGAAGCATAATAGTCTTTGAAAATACAATCATAATAGTGTACAAACTTATAATTTCAATTAATTATAGTCGAATTTCGACTACTGCGGGAACACTAGTTTCCATAAATGTATATGAGCAAACAAGTTTTACATTTGGCATTGCTGACGTCCATGAGCGACGGTAACCATTTACCATCAGGTGGGCCGTATGCGCGTTCGCCTATAGGGCAATAAAAAAAAAACTTACAGTCCACCAGGTATTAAGTGTATTATTATATATTAACGGCTGTCTGGTGAAGTGGTAAGTGACATGGTCACTACATAAGGGTGTTGCGGGTTCGAATCCCGCCAAGGGAAGATATTTGTATGATAAATATAAATGTCTTTTCCAGGGTTATGGATGTATATTAAATATATGTATGTGTATAATAAAAATCTTACATTTATTACAGTTATCTGGTACCTGTAACACAAACAAGTTCTTTACGAACTTAGCACGGGACCAGTTAATGTGGCGTGATCGTTAGTAAATATTTATTTATTTATTTATTATTTATTTATATTGTTATTTCCAAACCGGAAGGGAAGATATGTCCGTCTCGTCATAGATATGGATTTTTATTTTTTGTACAGGAGAAAATCGCCGGATCCCCACCCCCCGGCGCGTGGGGTATGTGGGAGTTGAACCTCACCAAAAGCTCCTGCCACTCACAGCCGGCGTCATATCCTGATACAACTGATACAACTTTTAACCCAAAGCACCGGTCATCGTTCTGGTCGAACCCGTCGATTGCGACGAAGGGCTCGGCGAGTAAATTAACCAATAGACACGGCCCACTGAGCTTCTCGCCGGATCTTCTCAGTGGGTCCCGTTTCCGATCCGGTGGTAGATTCTGCGAAGCACGACTCTTGCTAGGGTTCGTGTTAGCAACGTCATCAGGTTTGAGCCCTGCGAGCTCACCTACTACTTCGGTGAGTCTACAATAACCCGAGGTTACTAGAATAGGTAGGAAAATAATAATAAAAAAAAACAACAAAACCGGGCGTCTCACCAAATAGGCTACGACGAAATCACGAGCCGTATATACATACTTTTAACTAGATAAATTTGCACACTTTGAACATCAATAAAAATGCTATAATCTTGTTATCACGACACGTGTCCGAACTTGATAAGAGGTTCAGATGTTTCGTAATATACCTATTAATGATATAGTCATTTGAATAAATAAATAAAATGCGTCGTAAATCGGTAGATGAGCATTACGCAGATGGTCATAGATGCACACGGCTACAGCGTAAATTGAGGCCTGAGCTCAGTCTTCATTTTTTTGCATAGAATGGTGGACGAGCTCATGGTGCACATTTGGCAATGCGCATTTGGTGTTAAGTGGTTACCGGAGCCCATAGACATCAATAACGTAAACGCTGCCACTCACCTTGAGTCATGAGTTATGAGTCTCAGTTTTTACAGTACATCGGCTGCCCCGCCCTTCAAACCGAACCGCATTACTGCTTCACGGCAGAAATAGGCAGGGTGATACCTACCCGTGCGGACTCACAGCACGCCCAAACACCAGAAATTACGCAAATTATATATATAATGTATTATTTTATTTGTATCAAAATACAGTTTAGCTTTGTAAAACTATAGCAATTGAGTTGCTCTTATAAAGAGGAACAACATTTAAAGCTATTGCTTCACCATTATTTTTATATCTTTTTATATTTTAATATTGCAAAAATGCTCTTTATATGTCTAATGTTCTAATGTTTCAATAATCGAAATTCTATTTATGTCATCTATAGAAGAATGATATAAATAACATATTAACCTCTTTAAGGATTAATCGTATAGAGGTTACATATATTTGCGGGTTTCATTTACATTACACGATGTTATTCTTTGGTCGTGGAAATCGGTCGTGAAGATTTGTTAAGTACGTATTTCAATATAACAATTAGTAGCTGCCGGCGGGATTCGAACACGGGCACGGTCGCATCGCTCGATACGATTGCACCGGGAGTCTTATCCTTTAGGCCACGACGACTTCATATTTGTGCAACAGATATCTTAACTTTCAAACTGTCCTATGATAAGGTCCTCGTCGAGAAGCCAGAGGCCTTAGGCTGCCAGCGAATAAGTAATAATAATAATAATTTATTTATTTCTCTCTTAAAGGTATAATACAAATACAAATAGAAATTACCTAATCTTATAATTTACTAACTGTATTCCTTTTGTTCCTTGTCGTATCTGAAGCTAGAAAACAATTCTCAGCGACGAGCAGCGTCATAACTGATTGAATTCGTCGATAAACGGCTTGGGTTAAGATAAGTGGTCACAGTAATAAATAACTAGATTAAAGTAATTAAAATTAGGGTGTTTAAAATAAATAAAAAATACTTTATCGACATACTTTCGCAATGTAAGCCAACGCATTGTTCCGAAACTAGTTTCACGTATTTATAGACAACTATAAAAGCTGTGTGTGTAGCACGCGTATAGTACGAGGGCGGCACTGAAAATTTCGGGAATTAACGAAGTGACACAACATTACTATTTAAAAATGTATTTATTGCTTTTCGAAGTATTCTCCGCGAAATTTGACACATTTTTCCATACGATGGAACCAATAATTAAAGCAACCATTCCATTCGGAAGTTGGGGTCTCCAAAATGACCGTTTTGTAGGCGTCTACAGCTTCTTCAGGTGATGAAAATCTCTGTCCACGCAATTTATTCTTTATTTTAGGGAAAGTATAGAAATCATTAGGGCTTAGGTCGGGGCTGTACGGCGGATGGTCTAATAATTCTATGTTTTCTTGCTCTAAAAACTCTTTTGTTCTGTGCGCGGTGTGAGAACTCGCATTGTCGTGATGGAGGATGATGCGGCGGTTGCAGTTCTCTTTACGGAGTTCAGAAACGACCTGTGGCAAACAAATGCTAGCATACCATTCTGCATTAACCGTTCTTTGTCCCTCAAGAGGAATAGTCGTAACATGGCCGGTTTTGGAGACAAACGTGGCCACCATTTTTTTGCAACACTCCGTGAACGAACAATTTTTGTTGGCTTTAACTCATTTTCGAACACCCAAACTCGTGAATGGTTTTTTGTTTCGGGTTCGTACGCATATATCCAGGATCCGTCACCTGATACAATGTTGTATACAGCATTTGAGGATCCTGCGTGGAATCTTTCGAGAGTTCTGACGCACCAAGTAACGCGAGCCGCTTTTTGTTCTTCACAGAGCGAATGCGGTATCCATCGGGAAAACAACTTTTTTACACCTAATTGTTCATGCAAGATTATTTGTATTTGACTCATTCCAATGTCTAAAGTTGCCTGAATTTCGCGGTATGTCACATGTCGATCTTCCTCAATCAGCTTACGCACAGCATCAACGTTTTCTTGGGTGACTGCAGTTTTTGGACGACCTCGACGGGGATCATCACTGAGCTTGACACGTCCACGTTGAAACTCAGCAAACCAGCGATAAATTGTGGTTTTGGATGGGGCTTCATCACCAAATGCAGAAATCATCCGGTCAACACACTGTTTTTGTATTAAACCACTTCGAAAGTCATAATAAATCATCGCTCTTGAATTTTCTCGAGTCAATTCCATTTTCTCAACGATTAAACAAGTTTGACAAAACCTCGTGACAAGACCGAGAATCTTTTTTAAAATAAATAAATGGTATTCGATTTTTAAAACCAAGGAGTTTTCAATTAAAAATATTTTAATATGACAGGAACAGTGGAAATATTCCATTCCCGATACTTTTAGTGCAGCCTAGTATTCTTCGTGTGGCTTCTTGTTTTGCTCAACAAGCCCGTACGGAAATTGATATACGCAAATATATATGGGCGCAAACGCCACTATTGGCAATAATTAACATAAAAAAAGATGTGTGGTGTCGTGGGACACCGGATAGGAACGAAGTCCCATATAAAAAATAAAGTATTACGAGAAAAAAATCGCGCGGTGAAATATCGCTGTGCGGAAAACAAGGCCTTGTTCCACGGACTTTTTCTTACGGTTTTACTATCACCTTTTTTTCAATTCGGTCGCGCAGCAAAATCCCTATCTCCTCCAAGCCTGCCGTAAGGAGCTTCGTTCCAATAATATAAGTTTAGTTTATTCTATGTTAATATTTATTTATTATTAGCAAGATGAAACTGTTATTCTACCATATTTAATATTTAGCAGACACTGTTTTGATGTGAAAATGTTCAGAATATGATTATTGTTAATATTATTGTTTAAAAACACAAATGACTGTATAAATAATTAAATATTAATAAAGCATAAATATTAATAATAATTGATATTATAAATAACAGTAATTAATTAATTAACTATTGTAATTGTTCTGCAAATGATGTTGGCGCCATTTATTATTAGGCTAGATAATAACAATGTTAGCTTATATTATTTAAAAGTAATTTATGTAAAATAAATTAATGTCAGCTCATGTAAAAATCACTAAAATATGTATTGTGAATATTAAGCTATATTTTGTGAATTGTTTTGCAGTAATTATCTTCGTTTGTGTAAAAGAAGTTGTAGTTACTATAACCAGCACAAAATGGCTAACTGTGTAAGAACTAAGACGTAGACGTAGACTTTTTGTAATAAAATAGTAATGTTAAAGTTTTATAGAATTGTATTGTATTTTGATTGTAAAAGACCTTATGTGTGTAAACCCTGGCTTAACGCCGACATATACTTCTAGCGCGAAATTGTGTACACAAACCAAAAAATCTTGGTCTTGGATTGAGCATCCTGTATGTTTTAAGGCTCTCGAAGTCAACTAATAGATACAACTCACCTGACACCAGGTCGGTGATATTTTGCTGTCGATCAGACGCATATCCGTCATGCTCATTGGATATATTTGACCCGAGTACACGCGATATCTGAAAGAAAAGTAATAAATCAAAATCAAATAAAAGATAGTGGAAATTTTGCATAGGCACAATCGAGAAGGGCCGTGTTATTATCAAGGAACAAAATTCATTGCTTATTGTAGAAAAAATGACCGTAAGAAACATACTATTTAATGCCAACATATGTCAAGTTTGCGAACTATCACTCTTATACGAGTATAGAAGTTAGATGATAAACTAATAGGATTATCAAAGTTTAAAAGAATCCAGAGCAGTCGGTAATGGCTGATCTACGCTTCTGTTGTTACCGATATGGTTCTTGTTGAACCCGTCGCTTGCGACGAAGGGCTCGGCGAGTAAATTAGCCTACAGACACAGCCCACTGAATTTCTCGCCGGATCTTCTCAGTGAGTCGCGTTTCCGATCCGGTGGTAGATTCTGCGAAGCACGGCTCTTGCTAGGGCTCATGTTAGCCACGTCAGGTTTGAGCCCCGTGAGCTCACCTACCAGTTCAGTTAATTTAGAATGACCCCTGGAGGTTACTATAATATGTAGGAAATAAAAACAAATGACTGGGTAAATGGTATTTTTGGAACTCGCCCTAATCGTCTGGAAGGCAAACAGCCGTACACAAAGTGGTGAAATAATATAAGGTTTTGTTTAAAGTGTTTACAACATGCTTTAACATTATCACATTCTCGGTACCTACTCGAGTTAAAGTGCCGGTTAATATCCTCGAAGTTAATCTAATTAGGACATTTGGTAGCGTTATATAATTTACCTCAATTTAAATTTTTAATCAGCTATTCCAATTATTTAATTGTTTGTTTTAAACTGTCCAACGTTCATTTGGAATCGAATACTTAGGACGTCAATCATAATTGAGTCCTAATGTGCATAATAAGGTTCTACAATTGAGGAACCAAACTAAATATAAATTGTGCTATTAGAAAAAAACACATACGAGACTAGACTCCAATCGGGATTCAAAACCGGACCATTGGTGGTCATTTGTGAGTTTAAGTCTCAAATTCTCGTGGGCAATAGATACAATTTGCTCTATTTGACTTGTGTTAATTGCTTACCGGAGCTCAAGGATAAGGAAAAGGTCGCCGCAGGTCCTCACAGGTGGGTACCACCATCCTGTCTATGCCTGCGCCGATGTATCCTGCGTGCCAGTTCGAATGGAAAGATAGACAAGTGTTCAACTTTATGTCTTAAGACGGATATGCATGTAGTGGTCTTGGGTAACCGCTTAACATCAGGGTGGCCATGCGTCTGTCTGCCTGTCTGATCGAATAAAATAACGTCGGCTTATAAGCGCGATCTAAAAAGTGCCATTAATCTCAACTCACCTTAAATATAATGGAATCATTATGAACATGCTGGGCAGTATGATGAGGAGAGTGAGGAGTCTACACAGCCTCAAGGGTGTTCGGTAGCAGGACCGGCCGCTGAGGGTACATCGGCGCTGAGGTGGGCGGATTATTGGAAGACCAGCTGTAGATATTGGTGCTTGTTTGTGAATCAGGAAGATGCAAGGCTTTCTCGGAATTAGATTTTGACTATGGGATATTCGGTGTGGTTTGGAGAATTATATACAGCAGGTTATTGGAAAAGAGCTATCGCTTTCGTCCACAGTGCGTCTCAAGATATAATTTGTATAATTAATTATACAATCGTTGTCTGAGATGAATTCCTTTAGTGTATTTCGCAAGAGCTTTGACCTGTCGCTTTTTTAATCTTTGTTTCATCAAGCTCATAGCTATAACCAGTAGTGTAACGGTTATTACTGGTGGTAGGACGTCTTGTGAGTCCGCACGAGTATGTACCGCCTCCCTGCCTATCTCTGCCGCGCAGTAAGCGTTTCGGTTTGAAGGGCGGGGCAGCCGTTGTAACTATACTGAGACCTTAGAAATCATGTCCTAAGCTGGTAAACTGGGCATTTAGGTTGTAGATGTCTATGGGCTTCGGTAACCACCAGGTGGGCTATGAGCTCGTCCACCCATCTACGCAATAAAATAGAAAAGATCCCGAAATTTCCGGTGTTCCAATACTCAACGTCAACTCCAAGTCCTTCTTTAATCTGACAAGTGGTCTTTTTGGCGGGAACGCGAGGAGTAAAGTTGTGTGATTTGTTTTATTTTGTCTATTTAGTGTTTCTTGAAGTTTAAATGGGCAATAAAAGTGGTTTATTAACTGTTTAATATCTATGAAAGCGCACAAATGGGGGAAAATGAAACAAAGCCGCTGGACGTAGCTTCTCGGGATTCTCCAAACAACCCACTGAAAAAATCTCAGTAAATGACCATCATTTTACTGAGATTATATTTCATCCCATATCATCTCATCTCATATAATTTCATCTCAGTTGATTAATATCTTAAAATAATGATATTTATTTCATTTCACTCCATATTATGATTTTTCATAAAAATAAGAATATAAATTAAAATAAGACATGACTTAAAGGTCTTAGTTACCGGGTCATAAAATCCCTTAAAAAAATCTGACAGATAGTAGGTTTATCTAGCTTACCTTCTAAAGGTACTAATTCTTGAGGGTCCATGGTTGGGCGCTTAATGTTCACATCACAGCCTCAGTCGCTTGAGGTTCGTTCACTTCTCTTACTTCGCAGTCCGAATAAGTAGCGTTGTAGTATGAGGCAACTGGTTTAAAATTGACACGATTTAGATTCATTATCCGTAGACAAGTAACACAATAGAGTTCTTGACGTTAATAGGCGGCCATTTTGGATCTATCTTTAATCTGATAATGTCAGGCGACTAGACCGCACGCGTCGTTTATCACCCCAACAGGATAATTTTATCGTTATTTGTTTTAATTTTATGTGAATACGAAAACACACCGAAAAATGTAAGTGCTTCGGCTACTAATTTAGGTTTTGGTCGCTTTTATTTATTTGATTATTGATTATTTCACTAAATTATAGGCCTAATAAGCAACTTAATTATTCCAGTTACTTTTAATTAATAAAAATATCTTGATTCTATTTTTATTATATCCCTCTTAATTTCATTGTTATGCCCCCCCTATTCCCTTGGTCCTTGACTTTACAATACAGATGTTTTAAGTAAGCCAGCTAAAGGTTGTTAGTATTTTTGAAGAACTTTGTGAATTTCGTTTGCTACTTTGGTGTTTTGGTCGAGTTCTGTAAGCATGGTTTTGAAATGCTGTCACTAACGTGTTGACTTCATGACAAATGTCAAGTAAAGAGAGATAGAGAGAGAGAGAAAGAGAGAGAGAGTTCATTGCACATCAAAACATACTGAGCATTGAAAATTTGTAAGCCGATAAGTATAATTTGTACAATAAGCAATCTTATCACTAAGACTACGGAAATTCTGAAAAGGATACGGCAAGTATGTATATAGCGCTGTAGCTATTATTAACAATATTAATCTATCGTTGTAGGTGCAACCTTTAAGTATATACTCAAATATGTTTAAATTTTTGATTAATTTATAAATTAATGAAATATCGATAAACATCTTTATATATTCTTAGATATGCCGAGTAATCTAGATTTTTTATTTGTCTCCTTTATCCGGCTGTCACAATAGACTTTAATAATAACTAGTGGTCCCGCAGTAGTCGAAATTCGACTATAATTAATTGGAATTGTAAGTTTGTACACTATTATGATTGTATTTTATACTTTTATAATGACAAATTTCGCCAATACTACACTATAAAAAGTATTAACAAAGACAAACAATATTTAATCTATTCTCAATTTGACAACAGACGTCAAGAACAAAAGTTTGACAATAAATAGTATGCATGCGTGTGTGCGTCAAATACATGGTATGTAGTGTGTGTAATGTTTTCTTTATTGATTTAATGTACCTTTTATGCATTATTTTAAAAAAATATTAGCATTGTGCACTTCTTCTCTATATTCTCTATAAGTGTGGAAAATTTCATACTCCTCCGTCCGCGCAATTTTCGTAAAAAGGGATACAAAGTTTTTGCTTCACGTATTAATATATAGATAATAATAATAAAGTAATACTCAATAAAGTAAAAATCAATCAAAGTTTCTTTGCAACTATGATATCACTTAGCAACTGCGTGTGTTAATACAGAGCTTATGATATCCTAGCGTGGTGATTTATCTAATCACTGGGCCTATAATAAAACCTACTATGACGCGTATTATGTACCACAAATATACAAGGTTTTATTGTTTTTTAATACGCTTTTATTAGCTTTTTTTTTATTGCTTAGATGGGTGGACCAGCTCACAGCCCACCTGGTATTAAGTGGTTACTGGAGCCCAGAGATATCTACAATGTAAATGCGCCACCTGCCTTTGAGATATAAGTTCTAAGGTCTCAAGTATAGTTACAACGGCTGCCCCACCCTTCAAACGGAAACGCATTACTGCTTCACGGCATAAATAGGCAGGGTGGAGGTACCTACCCCCGCGGACTCTCAAGAGGTCCTACCACCGGTAAAAAAGCTTCATATAATGCGTATTTTAGTACATAACGGAATCTTTGAACATGATTTTGACCCCTTTCAAAGCGTCGAATTGGCTCGAAATTTGGCGTACTTATCAAGGACCGATGACAATTCAATATATTTTTCAGTTTGACCCGTTACCCTTACTAGGATAATCATCATTAGCAGTTTTTTGTCTTCCTAAAACCCAGACTGTCTTTGCTTCAAGACCAAGAAGGGAAACTACCAGGCGCGCCGATCGCCTATTCCTCTTTTTTTCCTACTTATGCTGATAGCCTTGAGAGGCTATTTCAGCTTGTCCTTGATGTGTAGGTTTTTTTTAATTGCTTAGATGGGTGGACTAGCTCACAGCCCACCTGGTGTTAAATGGTTACTGGAGCACATGGACATTTACAACGCAAATGCGCCACCCACCTTGAAATATAAGTTCTAAGGTCTCAGTATAGTTACAACGCCTGCCCTACCCTTCAAGCCGAAACGCATTACTACTTCACGGCAGAAATAGGTGGGGTGGTGGTACCTACCCGTGCAGACTCACAAGACGTCCTACCACCAGTAATTACGCAAATTATAATTTTGCGGGTTGCGATTGAGAAGAAATACACAGCCTGCCGTCATCGCCAGCTTAAAATTATTAATCTTTTAATCTATATATATAAAAATGAATTGCTGTTCGTTAATCTTGCTAAAAGTCGAGTTGGACCGATTGGACTAATATTGATCTTGAATTATTTGTGGAAGTCCAGAGAAGGTTTAAAAGGTAGATAAATATGAAAATGCTCGAAATTACATAAAAATAACAATTTTGTTTTTCCTTTGATGTGTCCCCCGTCAGACGGATTCCTTTTGTTTGTTTTAAGTTGTATTTTATACAAAAATTTAGGTCTTTTATTTATCGATTGAGGCACTACGAAATCTGCCGGGTCAGCTAGCTTATTAATAAATATAGGAACGTATGACAATGAATAAAACACCGCTTTTCTATGCAATAGGTGCTAGAGGGTCGTGTTTCCGATCCGGTGGTAGATTCTGCGAAGCACTGCTCTTGCTAGGGCCAGTGTTAGCACCACTCCGGTTTGAGCCCCGTGAGCTCACCTACACGTTAGGGTGAAGCTGATATAGCCTCTCAAGGCTATCAGCATAGGTAGGAAAAAAAAATCGGTTGTCTGTAAAGTCGGTTTACTGATGATAGTTGAACGTGACAACGTCATAAGAAAATACTGATGGAATGGTTTCATTTTTCAATTATCGCAATTATCGTTGCTATAAACAATTGACACCACATTCACTTTTCACTGAACTTCATACTCGACGAAAACATGTAAATGTATTATTGTATAGCAGCTGTCCACGCGGATGCATCGCTCACTCAAGTAGGAGAGAGACAGATGTCGACCGCTGCCGAACGCGGAGGCCGATTGTGCCTCTTTGTCGCTCGTTGCGCGCTCTCGCTTGCACTTCAAGCCTTAAATGGAACGCCTCAATGAGTCATGTTTTTTCGTGCGTGCAGCCGGCCCCATCGAATTATAAGACGTTGTCACGTCAAAAAAAAAAAACTGTTGCTAAGCCAAATTGAGACATTCAGTTATCAGCTTCGAAGCGATGTGGATTTAAGGAATTTTCCTCGGACCTTCTTTCTTCAAACACAAGACGTTATCATTATTATCGTATTATCAATGTTTATTCAAATTCTATTCAGCGTCTGCGCGATAACTATCTATGAAATGCACAATTACATAACTTTTTACCTCACAGGCTTTACTGGTGGTAGGACCTCTTGTGAGTCCGCGCGGGTAGGTACCACCGCCCTGCCTATTTCTACGTGAAGCAGTAATGCGTTTCGGTTTGAAGGGAGGGGCAGCCGTTGTAACTATACTTGAGTCCTTAGAACTTATATCTCAAGGTGGGTGGCGCATTTACGTCGTAGATGTCTATGGGCTCCAGTAACCACTTAACATCAGGTGGGCTGTGAGCTAGTTCACCCATCTCAGTAACAAAAAAAAAAGTAAGACACCGCGGCCTATAGACATGGATGGGATGGTTTCGTACCAGAAGGAGGCAAGTTAGTGCTGCGTTATGAGATGTCTTTGTTGTTATATACCATCCGACTTCGGAATTACAATAAACAATAAAACTGGTAAATTGGTAGTGTAAGGGGCTATTCCAGCTACGCCCAGACGGGTAGGTGAGCGCAGGGGCTCAACTTAAGTGAATTTTCTAATACTAACCTTTGGAAGAGCAGTGCTTCGCTTAATCTACCAACGGATCGCAATCTGAATTTATTATGCCAAAAAAAAGACGATCGGAATCGCGACCCACTGAGAAGATCCGGCGAGAGATTCAGTGGGCTGTATTTATGGGTTAGTTACAAAATCAATCCGCATTTCACTATCGATCGTTGACTCCGTGATATAATCGTATGACTTTTACGAGATAGGCGGCAGCAAGGCTCTTCCACTGGCTTTGCTGACGTCCATGAGCGTCGGTAACCACTCACCATCGTGTGAGCCGTATGCTCGTTTGCCTACAAGGGTAATTAAAAAAAAGGTAGTCATGGAATAGGTAGCTTTTTTATTTATTGCTTATATGGATGGATGAGCTCACAACCCACCTGGTGTTAAGTGGTTACTGGAGCCCATAGACATCTACAACGCAAATGCCACCACCCACCTTGAGATATAAGTTCTAAGGTCACAGTATAGTTACAACGGCTGCCCCGCTCTTCAAACCGAAACGCATTACTGCTTCACGTAGAAATAGGCAGGACGGTGGTACCTACCCGTGCCGACTCACGAGAGGTAATTACGCCAATTATAATTTTAGCTAGCAGCTGGCACAGGAATATAAATTCCTGTATGACTTTGTTTCCCTGACTGATCGTTAATGGACTAATGGGCTATTCCTACTACGCGCAGACTGGTAGACGAGCACACGGGGTTTGACCTGGGGGCATGTGACTTCCACAAAGAGTAATTGCTGATTTTAGAACGTATTGTCTTCTCTTTGTCCTTCTCTCAAACTGAGCACAGCCCAAGTTAGGTACGTGCGAGGTATTCTGACCCTGCGTAGTAAGCGGTGGTC